TTGAAAACAAAAAGTAGTCATCTTCTCATTTCACAGTCTTTGTGGACTTGTTTTTATCCAAAATGTCATAATTTTAATTTTTTTCCTTTTTTTTTTTTTCTGAATGAAAACATAAAACTAAAAACATTCATATCAGCATTCAATGCACAGATTTGTGTGGCAGAGAGTGTATGGAAATGGGTTTCATCCATCCACTTATTCATCCAAAACTTTTTTGCCTGTAGAGTAAGAAGTTTTTTTATTAAAAAAGTTTGTGACTCCTTGAAGCTGTTGCTCAGGCAAAAACCTTTCTGATGTTTGGTGGAAACATTCAGACAAAATTGAAAGAAGGTTATGTTTAAAACATATGTAAAGGTTTCACTGCCTCTACTTTTTTAACAATAATCAGCTCCCTTGAGGTTTGGAGGGCTTCTTTGATGATGGATTTGCTTCTTCAATTTCAACTTTTCAAAAAACTGTGCAGCAGCATGTTTGACCTACGTGAAGATCCGTGTAAGTCTGGTACTTTAAAAACAGGAAGATGAGCAAGAAGTGAAATGTTCTCGAAATCTTACTGTTGCTAACCTTACTCCAAACGGATGAGACAAGGAAGACAAAAAGTGCAGTCTGTGTGCTGCACAAAAAACATTGTTACTCATTTTTGCTAAACTAGCACTTTGCTTCTCATTGCTTATTGTCACGGCTGCTTGCTCACAGCATGGTGTTGGTGGATGCCGCATGCAGCATGGCATAGTAATAACAAGAAACAAGCTACCAGGGAAAATTATTTAAAATTGGTTTGTAAATGAGGTGGTGAATTTAGAGAGTGACTTGGAGGTGGGGGCGTTCACAGGAAAAGGCCAATTCTTTTTTCCTTCTCAGAGCTGTGAAACATTCAAGTGCCAAAGTACTGGGGGTATTGAAGGGATTTTCCCAGTAGTAGCACAGAAATGTCACTCTCCCTTTCTTTCCTCTCCCAGCGACTGTGTTCTCCCTCCATCCCTAATCTTCTGGAGCTCCCACTCCGAAAACACGTTTGCACAATTCTTGCCCCCAAAACGGAATGAGTTTTGTTATCCACTCCCACCCAGCTGGAACTGCACCCCACAGAACAGCTCAGCGTAGCACTTTTCCTCCCATCTTTTTGTCCTTTTCCCCTCCACAGAGGAAAACTAGTCAGTACTTGTGATTACCCAAAGGGTTTGTATTCGACTAATCAAATCTCTTGAAACCAGAGGTGTCAGAACCTTGAATTGTTTAATAAGGATAAGAAATAATTATTGGCTAGTGACCTAATATAGCATAAAATAAACCCATTAACTGCTGGCTTACAAAATATCCAGATGTCTGTGTATGCTGAGGCAGAACAGTGTTGTCAGAGGATTTAATTTGTTTCCTTCATCTACAGAAAGAGTAATTAGGACCAGCCCTAACCAGGACGATATACTGACCTCTGTCCTTGGCCAGCACTGCTTCTATGAGATAGAGACACTTGGCAATCCTAATAATGTTCCAGGCAACATGCTTCAAGCTACTTAGTACAGAGGCTGTTGTTGTTGACAAAGGACACACAAAAGACATCCCTATCACGTGAAAAAAGTTGTGCAGAAATATAATTTTGGACTTGATTTTGTGGAAAGGATTTAACACATCCATGTGGTTAGACATGACAGCCTCATATCCTTTCTCTGCTTTAATCAAACATTCCCTGTAAGATCTTCAAGAAAATACAGGTGAAACATCCCAGATTGTTCAATGACAATATTACATCCTTGTAAAACATACAATCCTTCTCTTAAATATGCTTACTGCTTTAGACCGTATTTCCATGAGAGACGTGGTCTGGATTACATTTGTTTAAAAGTGTTCAAGACAAAGGAATAACACAAGCTGATCATGGGGTCTGTTCTAGGTCCAGCCTGGTCTCCTCAGCATTTTTAAGAGAGATCCTCATTCTTCCCAGACACCAAGGGTGGACCAAGACCCAACTTGTCTGTCAGCACGCTGAAGGAAGGGCTGGATCTTTCTGGGAGTTGTGCTCTCCCAAATGCCAGGAATAGTTGTCAAGATCTTGCTGGGTTGATCTTAAACTGGACCAAGTTGTCTGCTTCTAGCAGGAAGCTGAGTTAATTGCTAACTCCCAGGGCATCTGGGGAGCATATGGGAGGCTGGCAGAGCAGACAAGGTAACACAGCATTTAGCTGAGCCTTCCTTAGAGTTTGCAAACAGAAAAAATG